GTAACAAGAAACTTTTCATAATCCATAATTTATCTCTATGTTTTGAGGAATAAATATCCTTAACGCAGGAATAATCAAAATCTTCAATTTTAATGCTGGCATTCATATAAATGTACTTTTGAAGTCTAACTTGAGAATTATTTCCGCCGTAATTTCGAACTGTTTATATAGCTAACATATATATCTACCTCGGATAACTATCAAGCAAAATATTCAAAAATGCGATGTCATCATTTTGCGAGACACAGTTGACAGATTATTGCTTTATGGGCAAACTTTAAGATGCTATAGAATGGGAAAAGGGGGGGGGGGGGGGGGGGGAACTTTGAATGATGTAAACCCCGTGTATTGTATGCTTACAACACCACTTATACAGATCACGAGGATTATCCAGGGGCACTTACAACAGCGGATGTTTTTAAGAAACCTAGAGACAGTTCTAATAGCTGGCCATTACGGTAAAGATTTGACACGCGAATAAGTACGATTATGACATGCTCCCCGTTGTTTTCCATCGTGTAAATGTACGAATGCTGAACGTAGATCAAGCCATGGTGGGAACAGTCCCGGCTATAATTGAAAACGCCGCGTCCATTTATTGAATACATGCACACTACTTCATTAAAGAATTACTGTTTATTTGCATGCAGATGACCTTAAAACTTGCACAAGATGGCCACGAGTTATTTTCATTTACAAAGAAACCAAGCGACACATTAAAGGATCTCATCAATGTGAGAGGAACCACGCGGTGGTTTCTAAAAAAAAAAACATGTTAAATACACAAGACATTTTATTTAAAATGGTTTTATCGTGTCTACAAAATGTTGAGAATATTTAAACAACTTGAGTAATATTTCTTCCATTCTAATTCTTTTGAGTATTTATATAAATAAAAAAGCGATTTACACAAAATGAGGTCAGCTCTAGTTAGATATATTTATTTGGTATAAAATTGCATCAATACATAAAAGTACGTTACGTAATAATGTTTTACCAGGAAATCCACAGCGAAGGCAAACTCTCACAAAAAATTACCAAAAAACGAAAGCAACTACAAAACTGTCGATCCTTATCTTTTAGTTGAAAGATATATCCTATCTGATTTAATCAGCTAACCGATCCCCGATATCGTTTCCTGTATGTATACTATAGGAGAGACAAAGATCATGGTACAGGCTATTACAGACTACTGTGGTAACTACATATGCTAAAGGGGAGGCAGGAATCATGCTATCATCCCCTGTGATAGAGGCACATATCGTGGTACAGGCTACAGTCAACTGTGATTGCTACATATACTACAGGGGAGGCAGGGATCAGGCTGCACTCCCCTGTGATAGGTTGCTTAAGGAGAGGCAAAGCTCATGGGACAGTCTACTGTGTTAACTACATATACTAAAGGGGAGGCAGTGATCAGGCTACAATCCCCTGAGATAGCTTACTAGAGGGGAAGCAAAGATCGTGGTACAGGCTACAGTCAACTGTGGTAACTACATATGCTAAAGGGGAGGCAGGGATCAGGCTACAATCCCCCGAGATAGCTTACTAGAGGGGACGCAAAGATCGTGGTACAGGCTACAGTCAACTGTGGTAACTACACATGCTAAAGGGGAGGCAGGGATCATGTTGCAATCCCCTGTGATAGGTTGCTTTAGGAGAGGCAAAGCTCACGGTACAGTCTACTGTGTTAACTACATATGCTAAAGGGGAGGCAGGAATCATGCTATCATCCCCTGTGATAGAGGCACATATCGTGGTACAGGCTACAGTCAACTGTGATTGCTACATATACTACAGGGGAGGCAGGGACCAGGCTACACTCCCCTGTGATAGGTTGCTTAAGGAGAGGCAAAGCTCATGGGACAGTCTACTGTGTTAACTACATATACTAAAGGGGAGGCAGTGATCAGGCTACAATCCCCTGAGATAGCTTACTAGAGGGGAAGCAAAGATCGTGGTACAGGCTACAGTCAAGGATCAGGCTACACTCCCCTGTGATAGGTTGCTTAAGGAGAGACAAAGCTCATGGGACAGTCTACTGTGTTAACTAAATATACTAAAGGGGAGGCAGTGATCAGGGTACAATCCCCTGAGATAGCTTACTAGAGGGGAAGCAAAGATCGGGGTACAGGGTACAATCAACTGTGGTAACTACATATGTTAAAGGGGAGGCAGGGATCGTGTTGCAATCCCCTGTGATAGCTTGCTTTAGGAGAGGCAAAGCGCACGGTACAGTCTACTGTGTTAACTAAATATACTAAAGGGGAGGCAGTGATCAGGGTACAATCCCCTGAGATAGCTTACGAGAGGGGAAGCAAAGATCGTAGTACAGGGTGCAGCCAAGGACCAGGCTACACTCCCCTGTGATAGGTTTCTTAAGGAGAGACAAAGCTCATTGGACAGTCTACTGTGTTAACTACATATACTAAAGGGGGGGCAGTGATCAGGGTACAATCCCCTGAGATAGCTTACTATAGGGTAAGCAAAGATCGTGTTACAGGCTACAGTCAAGGATCAGGCTACCCTCCCCTGTGATAGGTTGCTTGAGGAGAGGCAAAGCTCACGGTACAGTCTACTGTGTTAACTACATAGGTTAAGGAGGATCGTGCTATTTTCCCATGTGGGAGTTCGAAGGTTTATAATAGTGGTTGCAACTGTACCCACTGGTGTAACCGTTTGATTCTCACCACTACATGAGAACGTCTTTAATTCTTCAGGTTCCATTTCTTTTTCACAGCGTAATTTTTCTGTGATAGGCTGATTGCAGAATCCGTCAACCTCTTTCTAGATAAGAAGAGTTTTAGTGTAATTTGTTTTGAAGATTTAGAATTGACAGATACCAAGGGTTATCATAACAAAAACTGACTTACATAAAGTATAATCAACATGGAACGAACTCGACAGTGTCCCTGTCACTACCTTATTAAGACGGCGAAAACAGATATGCTCCGTAATGAAGGACACATTCATCAACATTCTTATCAGTCGCTAAAAGAGCGGCCATATCTATTTCAATTCTCGCCGGGACAGATTGCTCTCATGCCAAATGTTTATCAAATCATTCCCCGACATCAAAGACACGAGTAATATATCTATATATGATGCTCGTTCATGTACATGTCTCACGAAGTAAGTTACACGGGACAAAATAGGACATTGAACCTGTATTGGATACGGACATATTGAAAATCATTCCCATATTGATTTTCCCATACAGTTCATAACCAAATGTGATTTTACATTGGTGTTTTTGTTTCTTGTAAATATGAATACCGCTTCCCCGAGTTTTAACACATTTTGAAGAGAAATGTATATATATATTTTTTTTATCTTTTGTCCACATTTTAAATTTTGGTTTCACGATCTTTCAACATTTATTGTTGAATGATAAAGACAAGACTGTGTCTGAGCTGACTTTGTGACTCAGGATTAAGAACAAAATGGTAGGACCAACGCCTACAGAGATTTAACATTAGCGTCGGCTCCCGCTTTGAACTTCAATACAAGATAAATACAAAAAGGTATGGGTATAGAAAGCTTAAATCAGGAACAGTTAGTTTCAGAATTCATTTATGACAAATGGGACAATTATGACGTTATAATAATGATGACGTCAACAATCTGTCCATGGCTCATAGCCTATATGAATGCCAACTGAATTTGATAGAGCTATTTAGTGGCGATGCCATAGTAGAATAATTGTAATTGTATGAACAAGATTGCCATGCAGAGTTGAGGAAACAGATGTCCTACGGTTGTTTTAAAATCTAAAGTATTTCCTTTCAAACGACAAACGAGCTCGTTACATTCCACTTTAAGGATAATCACAATCACTCATAGAGTGCTATCCATACCATCTGGTCTAGAATTAGACGTAATTACTAATTAACCATGTGATCACTGTTAGATGTATTGTATGCTTACATCCAATTCATGGCATGCTGCAATACGTAGGCTCCGTGTAGTACTCTCACAATGATTCCTCTCTAACTTAAGGATGTTTCATTTTAGCGTGTGTATTATAGGGTATCGTGTATCTATCAGAATGAATGATGATGATGATGATGACGATGATGATGATGACGATGATGTTAAAACGCCGGTGACCCATTTCATTGATTGGAAGCGAGCTATTATGAGCAATGTCAGATGTAGTATAGGAAATGCTCATCCCTAGAACACTTGGGCTGAAAGTTTCCATGAAGCCTTCCTTTTGTTTTTCGTATTTTATGAGTTCCTGGTGTTATTGACTGCTGACATGTTGAAGCTTTGGTTTGTTTTGTGCCATTTTATTTTCTCAAATTTCGACGGAATTAATTTAGACAATCACCATGAAAATAAAGATTATACATGACAAAGATGATGCTGTTGAGTGCTTAAATTCAGTGGGGATGAACACTCTCGGTTTTGCTTTGCTCCGGGAACAAAGTCGCGAGATGCAAATCTTATTTAACACCGCTAATATTCAACAGTCTTAATAAAATTTCTATCAGAAGAGCAACACACACGTGATGTTTCTAGTTAGTACATTTAGCATAATTCTTCATACCTCAAATAACAAAAAAAATATCCTAAACATTAACTTCAAAGACAATACCATCAGTTGAATCAAAATTGATCATTACGTCATTGAATTTTCTTTTACACGCCACTTCTACATATAATTATAAATACAGCGTCAGAATATACCAGGAGCTGAGGAAGACGATTCGAAAAACATGTACTAGACTAATGGAACATTGTTACCATAGAAATAACACACACGTACAGTGTCAATTATTGAGAAATAATTAGTACTGCAGTATAACACAGAACAGTGATGAATATTACACAGCGAAAGCATGTGCCCCGCGTAGTAGAATATGTAGTCTATATACCTAATGTGCTGACCCTGTGATATTATGCCTATAGTTATATAATTCGCTAATTGATACAAAACATATATTTTATATTATTATGTACCTGTATTATATTGTCTATGGTAAAGTGGTACTTACCCAGGCTTCAGAGTGACTGCCTCCGACACATAGACGATCACAGCCAGGAAACAACACACCGTCCATTGTACGTTTACCATCGTCACTTCGAAATATCCCTCAGACAAACTTTGAGGACCAAATTGATATTGACATTAAATATTACAGATGTATTGTTCATATATATATATAAAAAAAATACACATAAGAAATTCTCCGCTGATGTCCAGTTAGTGCCGCGGATATATATATTATAGTCACAACGAGAAGAAAACTTTAAGTGACTTGTAATTACTGTGTTTTCTATAACTATATTTTGTCATCATGTTTTGCCGTGATTAGACCGACTCGCTTGCAGTAGTTCCGAATGTGTAAGAAGTGTTAAGTGCTTGTAGTGGGTAGCCTAGTGATACTGGCTAGCTACTTGTCAGGCAGGTCCGAGGCTCGTGTGTATAGCCGGCTTATATATACACTGTGTCTGCTACCAGCAGCAGCATCTCAGTCTATAAATTATGTGTACACTTATCTAGGATTAAATGTTGATATTTTGTATATTTGTTTAATAAACAAAATATATTTATATACAAAAGCACATGTTTTATTTATTACATTTCTCTATTTTCTATTTTAAAGACAACCAATATACATTATGATATTCAATGGACGAATTTGAAGGTTATATAATTCTTGGTTTACTTTTATACCTTAAATATCACAGAACGTTACATGTAGATGCTGTTCTTTGTTTGTGTTGACGTTTCGCAACCCAACAAGTGAGAATCGATGAAAAAGAAGATAACCTGTATCTAGTGTCCTCCGGGGACAGGACAACACCTGTGAGATAATGTATGTCATAGCAAAATTGGTGTGCGCCACCTTGTTGATGAGACAAGAAGACTAGTTCGATCCTTTATAATAATAATAATAATAATAATAATAATATACAACATTTATATATAGCGCCCTATATAATTTGTAAAATTACTCTAAAGCGCTTTACAACATATGGATAAAAGTAATGGTTAAAATTGTGAAAACGAAAAAAAAAAAAAAAANTATAGTTATATAATTCGCTAATTGATACAAAACATATATTTTATATTATTATGTACCTGTATTATATTGTCTATGGTAAAGTGGTACTTACCCAGGCTTCAGAGTGACTGCCTCCGACACATAGACGATCACAGCCAGGAAACAACACACCGTCCATTGTACGTTTACCATCGTCACTTCGAAATATCCCTCAGACAAACTTTGAGGACCAAATTGATATTGACATTAAATATTACAGATGTATTGTTCATATATATATATAAAAAAAATACACATAAGAAATTCTCCGCTGATGTCCAGTTAGTGCCGCGGATATATATATTATAGTCACAACGAGAAGAAAACTTTAAGTGACTTGTAATTACTGTGTTTTCTATAACTATATTTTGTCATCATGTTTTGCCGTGATTAGACCGACTCGCTTGCAGTAGTTCCGAATGTGTAAGAAGTGTTAAGTGCTTGTAGTGGGTAGCCTAGTGATACTGGCTAGCTACTTGTCAGGCAGGTCCGAGGCTCGTGTGTATAGCCGGCTTATATATACACTGTGTCTGCTACCAGCAGCAGCATCTCAGTCTATAAATTATGTGTACACTTATCTAGGATTAAATGTTGATATTTTGTATATTTGTTTAATAAACAAAATATATTTATATACAAAAGCACATGTTTTATTTATTACATTTCTCTATTTTCTATTTTAAAGACAACCAATATACATTATGATATTCAATGGACGAATTTGAAGGTTATATAATTCTTGGTTTACTTTTATACCTTAAATATCACAGAACGTTACATGTAGATGCTGTTCTTTGTTTGTGTTGACGTTTCGCAACCCAACAAGTGAGAATCGATGAAAAAGAAGATAACCTGTATCTAGTGTCCTCCGGGGACAGGACAACACCTGTGAGATAATGTATGTCATAGCAAAATTGGTGTGCGCCACCTTGTTGATGAGACAAGAAGACTAGTTCGATCCTTTATAATAATAATAATAATAATAATAATAATATACAACATTTATATATAGCGCCCTATATAATTTGTAAAATTACTCTAAAGCGCTTTACAACATATGGATAAAAGTAATGGTTAAAATTGTGAAAACGAAAAAAAAAAAAAAAAAGGCTTGCAATCACTTTGATACCGTTAAGCAAGCAATATGCACATAATTGAACAAATAAAAGGGTGGTATTTACATAAAGTCTTTGCAAAGATTCTAAAATATATTCATCAAAAGAATCTCGCGGTCACGTAACGGTAAAACTGACAAGCTTTGAAGTCGGGCGTCTCTCCTTTGTTATCTTCAAAGGACAGGTATCAGCCTAGCGATTGGTCATTTCTTTTACATGAGACCAATCAAACAGCTATCTTCGTGCCTTCAATTTTGCTATGACATATTCCAGGGGTGTAGAGAGCGAAAGTAAGCGTAACCCATGGATATCGAGGATGTGAGAAGGTATAGAACATAATAGCATTAATGTTACTAAATTTACATTAGGTACGTAAACTCCCTTGTTTTGATATGTATTACTAGCTAACAACAATGGTGACATATTTTCATATTGACAGAATCGTAAATACTGTAAATACGTTCGAGTTTCTGTGACATAGACACAGCTTTTGCATGATGTCACAAATCGTATGACGTCATAAAGGTAAACTGGAACACTTTAGATGATAATATTAAATCTCTGCCTCTCCTATCTTTTAAATCAGCTATATCCAAACATATTCCCACAAGTCAGCCCAGTTACTATAGGTATGGCGATTTTTTTTTTATATATTATACTAACACTGGACTCAGACAAACATGATCTCTTCCGTGTTAATTTAGTTCAGGATTCTAATTGTGTAAATTGTGGGCACCATTGTGAAAATGCTTATCTTTTCTTTTTTGAATGCCAATGCTATTTACACGCTCGTGTGGTATTGCTTTAAGCTTTTAATAACAAAAATATGAAAATTAGCGTAAACGTGTTACTGTTTGGCAATGAAAACCTGGTTTTGGATGTAAATTGTAATGTGTTCGAACTTCATAACTTCCAGTGGAAGATTTTGAACATAAACTATATGTCTATATTAATAACATTTTACATGTAATTTACTACTTTCAATAGTTGAATTTGAAATTAATTGTCTATGTCATCACTTGTATGTATATGAAATATGATGTTGATAGAATATTCATAAGTTGCTATAACTCGTGTCAAATCCTTTGTACCTATTTTGGACAATAAAATATGCTTAAAGCCAAAAAAGACCGATGAACACCAGGACGATCAGGATCAATGTCTTTTTCCCTGTTTCTGTATTAGATATACAATCATAGGAAAGAGTGTTTGCTGAGTGCGGAATGGAAAGCGACAACAATGGAATACCAAACTGTTAGCAAAACTGTAGTTTAAACTCAAAATCGACAAAACTGTGGTAAAATAGTAACAGAGGAAAAATATACATGGATACTCCTGAAGGTACAAAGATAATAGGAACAAGTGTTCCGGGAGGGTAAGCGTCTCCTGCGACACCCGGCCAATGAATGCTATTCGAATCCACGTAAATTCACGTCCTCACATCGAGAGCTCGGCACACTCTAATAAGGATAATCAATCTAACCGAGCTGTATATCAAACGAATTTCCCTGTCAGATTCTTGAATTATGAACAAAGGAGAGATTAAAATGGACAAACATATAAAAATGCAAAGAACATATCTCAAGTCTTTGTAATGATAATACAATTAAATATACATTGGTACATCAACTATTGTACACTCTGGTTTAGTTTTTTTTTAGTTTTTATGCTATACTCTGGATGATAAATCTTCAATAAAGTAAATGTTTGATATCAATGTCGACTGATACGTGACGACACACAGTGGCTGACAGCTGGAGACATATCATAAAAAGGTCAGTACAGTATAAATAATCTGACTTGTAATGACGAGATTTGAGGTGTGAGTTATCTGCCCCTACTTCTCTGTAACCAGACACCGGGGTAACACTGGCCACTTAAAGTCAACGAGGTGAGTGACTGCTCCTCTTGAAGACATTTAGAAATAGGTACTTTTATTAATAATAATGATCAAATACAGTGTATGTATTATTTTACTACTTAATTAACAGTGATCACGAGCGGAGTGTAATTGGTTGTGCTCGGAGGCCTTAACCTGGATTTAATGAGAGATTACAAGTGATGCCGAGCGTTCTATAACTGGGTCTTCACCACATTGTATAGTGTTGTAGATACATTTCTATAATGAGGGCTCGCCTATTAGTTATCTACCCCACGTTTACCTAGTATCATACTATTAATGACAATTTAAAGGTTGGAATATTACTGTTTTATTGGTCGCTGGTTTTACGCTAGATTCTTTTTACACATAAAGCAGGTTCCCACTTACTCTGATACACACGAATGTTCATTCATATCGGACACCAAGTTTAGAGTTTTCGGTTTAATTACATAATAAAAACATACAATTTCAATTATTTAATCAATGATTCTCCCCCAAGTTCCCCCAAAGAAATTGCCCCGATAGTTTGAAGTAAAGATGCGTACTCTTTCCCAAGTACCTGGTCTGAACTCTGGATTCATAGCATAATTTGCTGTTATCCCGAATGCTGCCATTTTTATTTGAATATAAGTCAAACTAGTGACGTTATACGTTTATTGTATGGGAAGGTATCATACGACTAAGGGATCTCTTAGGGGAGGTGAATTTGTTTTAGGACAGTAGCTTACGACAGGACAGTATCATACAACTAAAGAATCACCTATGGGCAGCTGACGTTTGTTTCTATTTCGTTTAATTTTGCTGCTTCTTAATTTTGAATTTTTTGACGTACTAACTTTGAAATCTTTTTCTCAAAAAGGATAGACTATCACAGTCTTTTTACTGGTGTTCATTTGTTTAAACACATAGGAACAATTTAACAGTTTGCTTATACATTAATTTAGACAATTTCATCCAACTCAGAAACAAATAAGATTAAAACATATCCCAAAATGACGCATCATTAGCACAGGTTTGTGTATTTTTGCGAATGTCATAAATACGTATATTTCAAACTATGACGTTATAATAGAAAAAAAGTCAGATGAACGGGCAACAACATAAATAACTCTCTTTCGAATTCGTTTATTTACATAAATATTATTATACCGATAACTCTGACACCCTTCACGCACACAACAAAAAACCCATCCACAAACGCACGCTAGCACCCACACATGATATTTGTATGCATATGATATACAGTGCAATTAACATTTCTACTGTATGGTTTATTTTTTATTTTTTCGGGTTTAACGTTTTGCTTTCCAAAAAGAACAACCATGTCCCAATGAGCACAAATACGTAAATTGTTAATCTTTCATGATATTCTCAAAATCACAATAACCGATACCGAAGTTATCGTTTTGCTTATTATTTGAAGCAGGGTTATATACCGATGTATATGAGTAATAGAAATAAGGTCCACCTGTGACCACTTGCCTTCTACTAATGGTTAAGTGTTACACTTCCGTCATATTTAACTGTGTTTCATTAGTGAAAAAAAACCTACTTATTCTACAGCTATGTATTACAAAATGTGTGGCAATGCAAAAAAAAAAAATACATCGGAAAAGTTGATAAAAGAAATTGTTTCCCCTTAAAGGAGCACGAGCGAAAATGCACACTTCTTATGGGCCTTTATAAACACATACGTAGTTCAGGTTAAAAAATCATACAACTATATACTAATATATCTATACTATATACTGATATATCTATACTATATACTGATATATCTATACTATATACTTATATATCTATACTATATACTGATATATCTATACTATATACTAATATATCTATACTATATACTGATATATCTATACTATATACTGATATATCTATACTATATACTTATATATCTATACTATATACTGATATATCTATACTATATACTAATATATCTATACTATATACTGATATATCTATACTATATACTGATATATCTATACTATATACTTATATATCTATACTATATACTGATATATCTATACTATATACTAATATATCTATACTATATACTGATATATCTATACTATATACTGATATATCTATACTATATACTTATATATCTATACTATATACTGATATATCTATACTATATACTTATATATCTATACTATATACTGATATATATATTTCTCTCATTTCCGTGTGTGTAATATAGAGCTTTCTCGCACCTCATACAGAGATATCCCACGTCATACCCCATCCTAGATATTTCCCATCTCGTCCGATCTATCGATAGTATCTTTACGTGACATTCGGGGACTTTTTTACACTGAGATGCACTCATCCGCGCGTTAACGGCTTGAAATTGACAATCTGCATTATATACAATGTAAGTATTCTGTTTTGTCGTTATATGTATTTTTTTTATGTTGTTAGATATCCAATGTTATAGATAAAATATGATCTACACTGTGAACAATCTAATTAAAATTATATCTTCACATCGCTCCCGTTTACTGATATGTTGCGTTGAAGATCTAACAACATCCCGTAGAGGGTCATGTTCAGGCGACCTTTGCATTAACCAATCAGAGGAGAGCTTACGCATTTCTATAAGTGATGATGTAATGATTTTGAAACACACTTGCTATGATAAAAGACCGAGAGGTGTCAAATGAGCATCGAAAATGGCGGCGCCCATGACACCACGCCGTGTCTATCTACAAGACAACGTTTGTACAATTTGTGGATTTTGCTTTGAAATAAGAGAGACTTCCTCTTCTGGTGATGTTGTCGTTTAAAAGTTTAACAACCTGAAACTACCTGGATTTTGGGCTACGAGGTGCTACAGGTCCTGCTTTCTGATTGGTTTAAAGAAAGAGTTATGTCGCGTTTTGATTGGCTTGTTATAAATACGATAATGCATTCATGTTGACCTCTGACGTGACCCTCTACGGGATGTTGTTAGATCTTCAACGCGACATATCAGTAAACGGGAGCGATGTGAAGATATAATTCTAATTAGATTGCATTGTGAAAAATGTTGTCTTCCTTGAAAGGACGGACTACATTTTTACGGGGAAGCATTCAAATGTAGCTTTAGCAGTGTAGAGGCTATTTTTAGAGATTTTGTTCGAACTAAAGGTGCGAGATTATTTTTTACCTGTAACTGAGCAAGATCGGGTTATCTCAGCCTCGGGCTAAGATTCTGTAACATCCAAACCTCGGTTTACGCCTCAGTTGCGATTATGTTACAGAATTTTAGCCCCAGGCTGGGCTAACCCGATCTCACTCAGTAACAGGTAATAGATTTTATAAGTCAATGGTAAGGAAGGGGTGTAAGATTTTCCCTCCCATCCTTCACATGTGTGTCTCCGTTTTAAGCTTGAAAACATCTTGTCACTCCCTCAGGGGATATAGCCTGGTTTATGATGGCGCGATCTAGGTCATATCAATAGTATGACGTCACGTCCTTAATGCATTGACGTCACGTCAACAGTAGCAGACCACGGAAGACAACTATGGATTTGCTTGAAAAACATGTAATCAACGCTTGTCGGCAGAATTGTGAGTGAATTAGGATGGAAGAAAAACAATTATCCCTCTGGTTGGAGATTTCTTTGTCACAACCTCAAGGTAGGGGAAGAATCTATTAATCTCACACCCCATTTTACGTAACGTGACGTCACAATGCACAATATCGCTCAACAATGACGTGACGACACGAATTTGGAAAAATCCGATGCCCTAATGCAGAAAAGGCGATGTTATGAAATTAAAACCTTTAACGATATATTTACCGTACACGGTAGAAATATGAGAATATGTTTTTGCGCAAACTTGGTTTAAAATATTATATGTTCACATGTGATGATTAAAAGGTCCTGCATCGATTTTTGTACTAAGCAATCGGAAAATTTATTTTTTATTTTCTGCATTTGATGCCGCACATTTCCGGTACCAGATGCAGATGAAGCGACTATACAGTGAGTGTTAGATTTTGTACCTCTTTGGTACATACACTTCTTTATTGAAATGATCTCGGAATTTTTGTTGGCAAATAATAGCTGAAAACGACAGAATTGCTAATGATTAGCTCATCTAAATTGACGAACTGCTTTGTTTCAACTTCTTAAGAGTTACATGCTGGGGTTCCACAGGGGTCAATACTGGGACCACTTCTTTTAATTATCTTTATAAATGATATAGTAACTGATGTTAATGCCCATATTCGACTGTTTGCAGATGATACCTCACCTTCTTTTATTGCTGAAAGTCCGAAGAGTGCAGCATATTATCCTAAACTCTGACCTGAACAAAATCAGTACTTGGGCCAGGCAGTGGTTAGTTAATTTCAACCCCCATAAAACTGAAAGTATGGTCCTTACAAGAAAGAGAACGGCAACAGCTCATCATCCCCTTTTTATGAATAAAAAATTCAGCAAGTTCGACAACATACACATCTGGGTGCAACTGTATGTGAAATCTGTTCTTGGCATGTTCACATCGCTAATATCCTTGCCAAAGCATGGAAAAGGCTAGTCGGCTTTCTTAGAGGTTTTAGATTTAAGCTGGATCGAAAATCTTTAGAAATTATGTATTTTTCATATGTACGTCCCATCTTGGAATATGCCGAGATAATTTGGGGTAATTGTACCCAACAAGATTGTTAAGAACTTGAAAAATATTGAGGCAGGCAGAATTGTGACTGGAGCAATAAAATCTGCATCGTCTAACTCAATTATATTAGAAACAGGATTGGAAACATTTTCACATAGTTGATACAAGCATAAGAATGAAAACTTGGTACAAAATATACCATGGTGCTGCACCATTTATTTGGAGAATTTGCTTCCTCCTGTGAGAGGAGCTGTCCAAGGTCACAACTTAAGAACCAATTTGAATAAACATCCACCAGCAAGTAGAACAAATGTTAATATGACTTCTTTCTTACCCACTGCCATTAGGGAATGGAATGTCATACCTAATGATATAAGAAATTCTCCATCTCTGTACAAGTTCACAAATCACCTCAACAGACAGCGTATTAGTAAAACCACCATATTAGTATGCTGGCCATCGCTGGGCCCAGGTACTTCATACACGACTTCCTCTTTGGATGTAGTTCCCTAAATTATCATCTCTATAATAATCAGGTTTTAGACACAGATCTGTGTAGATGTGGGCAGGTGGAACCTCCTTCCCATTATTTGATGCAGTGCAGGCTCTTTAACCAAGCTAGAGTGGAGTCCATAGGAACTCTAAACATGAATTTGAACCCTGAACGGTTAATTCATGGTGACCTAAATCTGTCTTAAGATGATAACATACTTATATGTGATAAGGTACAAATGTACATTTTAGAGTCGGGTAGATTATAGGTGCTTGTTGGGATCTTTTCATGCTCTCTTCTACATTACTGTTTCCTTTATTCTATAAACCTATAGCTACTTAAGTATTTTTTTTAAATTTATGGTTCCTCACATAAAATGGTCGATATTATCTCAAACTGTTAATCTAAACAATTTCTGTGTATTAATTAAATGTATGTTGTAGCACTTCTTTAATGTAATTACATTTTAAGGGAGCTGGCTTTATATCAGATTTAAAATCTTGTTCCCAGAGCCTATTACAATTCCTATTAACCTGTGTTCTTATTATATATGATATATGAAATAAATATTGTTTAAACCAACTGCTTTGTTGTCAAGCATGACGTCATTCGAATAAAGCGTCACTAAAGCTCTGCTTATGCAGTTAATTTTCGTCGTAATATTTTCGTCATTGTACTTAACAATTTGATCAAGAGAAACGTTAATAAATTTCCTGTGAAAAGCCATATATATTTCACTCAAATTCTGCCACATGATTTAAAAACATTGGTATTCAAAATGAATTTGTTAAATGTCATGTATATAATTTTCTTATTGCAAGAATTGGCAGTTATTGGGGAATATGTGATAACTGAAGGTGACGTAATAGTACGGAGATATTTTAGCATTCGCATCTAAAATATATGTCTGGTTAAGTAAGGGGGAGTAACTCTTACATACTAATGGAATCATTATGGGTGATGCTTTCAAGTTGATAAAAATAATAAACAAGGCCGATGTCATTTTTTTGTATTTTATTTTTATGAATACATTGTACAGTGTACAATACACAAGTACAAACAATATAGTCTGATCACATACTCACTTACACACACTTTCATTCTTAAAATGTTTACATAAATTTAAGTAGCGTACATGTATTTTATATAATATAACAGAAAGAGAGGAAAGGAGAACGGAAATATAGGATAGAAGAACAGAAAGAGAAGAGTTTGAGAAATAAAAGGGAATTATACGCATATCTGTGTTTTTATTTGCACTGCAGTAACTTAATCAAACATGCAAAAAAATACTGAAACATTCTAGTGTGTAACTGTTAAGATAATTTCGGCTGAGCACTGTCAGATAATACATCAAAATAGACACCCGGTATATATTTAATAAAATGTAAAGAGATTGCTGAAATCAAGAAGGCTATTCCTTTTTCCTCAATTCAATTTGAGATTTCCGAACACAGGAAGCTCCTTTCCTATACGCAATACATTTTTGTACTGAATAATGTTCCTTTACAGTATTGACAAGGCCGATATCTGTGTAGGTAAACACATGGTGATTTGTACAGTAGTTAGCACTTTATACAACGTTAACCACCTCTCCATGTGTACTTTACACAAGGTAAACCTACGGAACGCCAAATTAACATATATTCAAATAATTGAAGATATGTTCATTTCAGTTGAAGACAGGTGTAATTCGTCGTATTTGAACCTATCTTTAATTAAATTGTACTTATCTTCAATTAAATTGAACGTATCTTCAATTGAATTGCCTCTATCTTCAATTGAATTGTACATTTCTACAATTATTTGAATATAGGTTCAATTATTTGATTATATGTTAATTTGGCGTTCCACATAAACCACATAGCCCATTTTTAGCCAAAAACTAGTGTTTCTAGTAGACAAAGGGCTATAAAACTTGCTAATAGATGTATTTGTCGCTAAAATTGGTCCATTGGTACATGACTGAAATATCCAGTTTACTGGTTCACTATTGATAGTTGTCATAAGTTATAACGAGAGTCCAATGTGGGCACAGGATCCGAACTAACACATGATTGGCGGGTGATAATTACTTTAAAAAAATATACACGCAAAATAGTAAAAGCAATTTTGTCAAGTTTTCGAGGCAATCTGCTTCTTTATCAAGACACAAGCATGAATAATAATTACAAATCAAATGATATGAATTAGAAAAAATCAGTTACCATGAAACCATTCTATATCACAGAATATTAAGAATATTAAACAGAAAACCAGAGAGGACAATGTGTGAAGAAAAAACTATAAAAATAAAGGTTTTCATAGAGCGACAAAATGACGGAAGGTGTCCAATTTTGTACATAAAAAATGCATGATTGCTTTTAAAAAGTTTCAGTCTAATGTATCTAATTAAACACAGGTCTGATGATTGATAACACAAAATGTCCACAGTCCAATCAACATATTATATATCTGTTGTAGCAGATTTACACCTCCACCCGTAAACGATTCACAAACAGCTTCCATCATCAAAGGGCGTTCATTGACAGTCATCCACGGGGCAGACGTCCCACCTGATGTTAGGGTCAGTGGTATAGCACCAGGGACGATGGTATCTAATCGGCATACACCAGTTATTACTGGTAGTCATGCTCGCGATACTAGCAGCAACAACAGCACCTATGGTGTGAGGGGTGTTGGTGTCCCAGCGCTGGCATACTGTACCTCCAACTGTGCATGATACCCGACCCATGTACCTGACGTTGGCAGTGTCGAAGCAGTCATATTCTGTCAGAATAATTTCAATGCTATTTTAGGCTAATCATGAGTAATTTCTGTTAACCACTACTTCTTCTGCTATTAAAATCACAATACGAGATTAAAAGTAGCTATTTCTATTTACTTTCATTAGAGAAACTGTACTTAAATTCATTTTAACAATACATTTCAATGGTAACAAAAGTTACTTTTTAGCAGATATACGGATAAATTACCGACGCTATCAACCAGAAATAAGATTAAATACCTGAACACGACAAAGTAGCGACAGTCCAGTTGGATTGACAGTCAAACCTTGATACAGGACAGTAGCTCATAGGATTGAATCCCGCCAGGTTTCTGCATTTGTGTTGAGCATGACATCTCTCTCCTTTGTATGAGCGTACTGTAGACTCAATTCCATCATAAGGACGTTCCACGAAGGTTTCGACCCCCGTGACAGGTACAGGAGACGGATCTTCCCGATTTGTCTGAAGCCCTAGGAAAAAAGTGGTGAATGAACTCGTGCTAATTAACGATGTTTTGCTGGATTTGCGTATTTTGGTCTCTAAACCAGTGGTACCGGGTTGGCTCTAAACCTATATCATACATCACCCATACTGATTTGGCTTTATAATGTTTTAAAGTAAAAGTACAATTGTTTTTCTTTTGTGAAAAACAAAGTTCATGTAAAATAAAGAAAATGTTAGAATGTCTCATCATAATCAATGCTTGAGAACGCGTTTAAAAATTGTACAAGCAAAGTGACATAAGCTAAATTCATATTTTTGTTTTACCTCGTATAAAATGACCTGCACGGTAATGGCAATCTCGAAGATAACAACAATGGCGTCATGGATGTTGTTACGCGGGTTGGCTTTTACGTAACAAGGTTTTGTTAAACAGCGTTAATTGTGCATTGTTTTTCACTTGCTAAAGGAGAGTTCGATGAGTGCGATTATATAAATAGTGACGTTATTTTCACTGTCAACACAATCGTACACGGATTTATTCTCATTCAGTGTATATCTGGCATTTGATCAACCCGGGGAGGCGTTACCTACACCGATTACAAATATTAAACCTATATATATCTTTGCCATTCTTATTAAAATCTCATCTAAAATGAAAAAAAAGAAAAAACGTAAAAGGGAACTTGCATTTCTTTTCATAAACAACATCATATTTTTTACTAGTAAGAAGCGGTCCACTATATACAGAGGTACCCTACATGTTATCCTGGTGGTGATTAATGTGGGGCCCCCTGCTTTCTTCAGTGTCGTCTGCCAATGGGATAATGACGAAACCACAATGGATCTGCTTCCCCAACGGTATTATGGATCTTTATATTTTCTCTCTACTTCCTGAGAACCTGTTTGTGTCATAGTCCCTTGCTTTGCAATACCTCACTTGTAGCCTTAGTGTTAAACGTTCGCCGAAGAAGTGTCGGCATTGGGTTCTGTCCCCAGGCCTGGACATACCGAAGTCCTTCGAACCGGAAGTTGTTATTCCCTGCTTAACGTTCAGCATTTAGGGTTATCACAAGTGGTTTACCCGTTGTCAGTATAATGTGACCCGATGGAATAATGTGCTTTGTGCCTTCGACATGGTATTTCGGTGAGATAGCACTCTAAAGTCGGCATAAGTATACCAACATACCCCGCTTCCGGCACACATACACACAATTATGCTGACACTATACAAAAAAGGCACGTCCTTAAATGACCTTAGCTATTAATAGGACTGTAGGTAAAATTAAACAAATCAAACCGATGGTGAGTTCACTGACTATAGAAGTGATTCTTATGGCAGGTGGATTTACATGAAGATCATGTTGATAACGAGATATTATCTATTGTGGTGATATGCTATTTCGTTGTTACTGTATTAAACTGGCTATCAGTTTCAATGAAGAATTTCCCAGCTACATTTTACTTCTATTCCCCCCCCCCCCCCCCCCCCCCCACCCA